TACCTCAATAAAATTTCAAAACTCTGTTTAATACGATGCACAAAAGGGAGAAATCACAACAAGTAAAAAACACTAAGTTCGGCCGGGCCGAACATTTGGCACCCTCCATTATTGGATAAAGAAAATTTTTTTTTTTATAAAATTATCTGAATTCAATTGAGTTCCAATTTAAACTGCAAAGACCAGTAAGACCGTTTGGATAATGCTGTTAAAAATGCATAAAGTGGGTGGGCTTGTTATATGGGCGTCATACTAACACGGGAACCTTTATATACAATTTTATACTTTATGGATTGTTATCTACCAAATTTTTTTAAATACTAAATTTGAAATATTTTCGTAAGTAAATGTGACTAGGATTATCAAAATACCGAATACCGTGGACCTAAATATAAATAAAAATATTCCATGTTCTGCCAATGGAGGTAGAACCAATTATGAACAAAAAATACAAATTATTAGACAAATCCGTGAAAAAATGTGGCAAAAATCTTCAAAACAGAGAACATCGGAAGGTACCGTTATATGGGGGCTATACAAAAACTTGAACCTATGCATACAATGTTTCGTCACCGGAGCTAGAACCCATTAGGACCTACAAATACAAATTTGTAGACAAATCTGTGAAAAAATGTGGCAAAAATCATCAAAAAGCCGAATATCCGAAGGTAACGTTATATGGGACAATACACAAAAGTAGACCTATACATACAATTTTTCACCACCGGAGCGAAATTATGACCTAAAAATACAAATTTTTACACAAGTCCGTGAAAAAATGTGGCAAAAATCATCAAAATACCGAATACCGGGAGGTACCGTTTATGGCGGCTATACCAATATTTGGACCGATATATATCATTTTCAATACCAAACATCCTAGACACAATAAAAATTGTTCTGCCAAATTTTTAAGCTCTATGTCAAATAATATGGGATGTATCGTAATCTCAACAGACAGACGGACATCATTAAAACGATATAGAATTTTATGCTGATCAAGAATATATATACTTTGTGGGGTCTAAAATGTATATTTCGAGGTGTTAACTGAACGTAATGTACCCTCCATACTATGGTGGAGGGTATAAAAATGAAGATATTATATCTACTCAGAACTCTAAATGTCAACTTACACATGATTTAGTTTCAAACTGTGATCAAAAGATTTAAAATACCGAAAATCAGTAAGTAACGCTATATGGTGGCCATACCAAAACGTAGACCACTATTTTCCATTTTTGATAACAACATATCAGGAGCAATATAAATGTCTTTATAATATTTCAAAGCGATAGAATGCCTCCTTGACTTAGTCTTCGTTTTTGAGGAGCTGAACCCACTGTGAGATGGTATGATGGAAGCTACTGAAGGTTAACTTGTAAAGGTTTAGCATAGCCCCATCATATTTATTGAGAATTTTAATTTAAAGTCCATTTTAGGTTGGAAATATTTAAAAAATTCCCGTAAAAGATTTCTATATGTAATTATACCCTACAAAACTATGTGTTGGGGGTATTATAAGTTTGATTGGGAAAAAAAGTTGTAACACCTCGAAATAATGGTTTCCCACATAGGAAAGTATATATGGATCTTCCTATCTCGCCGAGCTGAGTCGATCTAGCTATGTATGTCCGTCCGTCTGTCCATGTTAATTTGTAATTACTCTACAGGTCGCAATTGTGGCCCGATCTTCACGAAATTTAGAATGTAGGTGGGGTTAAGGTCAGAATATAACCTTGTTTCTTTTGGAGATGATCGCATAATATTTAGACCAAATACTGAAAAATTTCTTGATTTTGCAGTTGCTTTACAGGCCACAGTTATAGACCAATCGAAGCGGAAGTTAGCATGGGGCTAGAGCTTAAGGCTGGGCAGAAGCCTTCAAATTTTCATGGTCACCGGGTAATATTTAGTGGGTGAAATAGACCATAACATTTGTGATAAATAAAAGTCAAATCTTCCATTAAACCGCGAATATTTTTTATGCCGCCGAAATCACAAATAGACGAACAGGTCAATTCTGACCGTTACGTAGATGCCGATAGCAAAAATATCGGATATATATAGCGAAATATGTACAATACATATATACAAAGGAAGCGGATGTTAGCTAAAATGATTTTATATCAAGAATGGCTGGAGCGATTTGGACAAATTTTGTAAATTTTTTCATTTTACAACACAGGTTGGGGTTATTATATACAGATTGCAATTATTGTCCCGTCCTCACAAAATATTTCACAAAGGTAGGTTAGGCTCAGAAGGCTAGGTCTATTGTTTCCAAACATGTCAGCAATATATTTAGGGTTTGAAATGGACCAGCAACTAAAAATGTTCCTGATTTTGCAGCCGTTATAAAGGACACAAATAGAAACCAAAGGACAGGAAATCTTGCATGAAGTTAGAATTTAGGACTGCGGGTAGAATGGACAACTACTTTTGTGTGAAAAAATACCAATATTACATACAGGCGATATCCAAAATACGCAATAGGCGAACTTCTGACTTTTTATACCCTACAACACTATGTGTTGGGGGTATTATAAGTTTGATTGGGACAAAAATTATGTAACACCACGAAATATTGATTTCCCACATAGGAAAGTATATATGGATCTTCCTATCTCGGCGAGCGGAGTCGATCTAGCTATGTATGTCCGTCCGTCCGTCTGTCCGTCTGTCCATGTTAATTTGTAATCACTCTACAGGTCGCAATTATGGTCCGATCTTCACGAAAATTAAAATGGAGGTGGAGCTAGGGTCAGAATAGAACCCTATTTCTTTTGGTGATGATCGCATAATATTTAGGGGTTGAAATGGACCAAAAACTGAAAAAATTCCTGACTTTGCACTTGCTCTACAGGTCGCAATTATGGACCAATCGACGGAATTTCGCATGTAGCTAGAGTTTAGGGCTGGCAAGAAGCCTACCCATTTGGGTGGTCATCGGATAATATTTAGCGGGTAAAATAGACCATATCTTTTTTGTTGAAAAAATTCAAAATTTTTCATTAAACCGCGAATATTTTTAATCCCAGCGAAATCACAAAGCCATGTCAAAGTTACTTCTGATCTTTACATTGATGTTAACATCCAACAAAACGGATATATAGCAAAATATATGCGATATATATGTTTATCAAAGAAGATATGCTTGAAAAATCTCTTATATGTCGAGAACGGCTGAACTGATTTCGACAGTTCTCATTAATTCAGAATGGCCTCTTGGCAGGAAACATAAAACGTCTAAAATATCGCATAAAAATATCTCTCTAAAGATGAAAATATTGATTTTGTAAAATTTTCTCATATTTTTCCGTTTTGTCATATTTTTGGCATATTTTCATTTTGAATTAAACATTTGGTAATATTTCTACAGCTAACAAAACTAAGTAGTTAGGATATCAGGATATCATATACAGATCGCATTTATGGCCCGATCCTTACGAAATTTTGCATGGAGATAAGATGAGGGTCAGAATAAAAGCCTATTCTTTTTGGAGATGATCGCCATATATTTAGGGGTTGAAATGGACCAAAAAACTGCAAAATTGTCAGTAGGTCGTAATTATGTGGGTTACCGAAATGTCCATTCCAGTGACTTTTTGGAGAATTCACAAATACAGGAAAGACGCACTTCTGACTATTTCGTTAACGAATATAGTCAAATGTCTGTATCTCATATAGATGCGTTTCAGTCAAAAACCAATAATAAATGTCAATCTTTTGCCACTTCTTAGAGATTATAGGTCTTTGGGAAATATTGGTTCCAGATCTAGGAAGACCATTTATGTGCAACATCTACCAATAAATTGGAAATGAGCAAATTAGTTTATGTTGCTATTATCCGAAAATTAGAGAACGAAACCTGATGATTTTCTTTTATTATTTGTCACAATATCTTGTGGAATTCTTTCGAGTATCTCGCCTATATAAACTGTATCGTTTATTATAGTGTTGTAGGGTATTCAACGGTCGGCCCCGCTCGACTGTAGCCTTTGCTTACTTGTTTATGCTGATTTCGTTTAACGAATATTGCCAAATATCGTAGATAAGCAAATCATATAGATGAGTCTGTATCTTGGAGATACAGAAGGGCGTCTTGCTTTTGGAGATGATAGCAAACTATTTTGTGGTTCAAATGAACCAAAAGCAGAAAAAAATCCTGATCACACAATTGAAGCCAATCGACACGCCTAAGAAGATAGTTAAGCACAGGGAAGTATTCTCGCATTTTGGATGACCATTGGATTATAGTTAGCCGTAAAATGGACCACAAAAATTAACAGCACGACGGACTGCGTAAATATTGGGCAAATTTCCCTGGTCAAAATACTAAGGGTAATATCTGGGCAGTGCTCCATGACATAATTTCAAAAGCCAAATCTGCCAAAATAGATTTGGACAAAAGGGGGCTTCTGACATATTGTAGTGTTGTAGGGTATCACATGGTCGGCCCCGCACGAATATAGCCTTTGCTTACTTGTTAAAAAGAGTGCGCAATCTACTTCCACTTTCGATATTGAAAATATAATGGTCCAAAAATTATGAATTTAGTTTAGGAATTTGTTGTTTTTTTTTTTTTTTCATTTGAAAAACAAACAACTACAATAAAAATATTTTGTAGGTTTATCACTTTTGCTAAATATAGCAAAGTTTTATTGTCTTTATTAACACTGAAATGCAAATTAAGCGAACTATAAAACATTTCTCCATAACTGATAAACTGCAATTCATATGCTAGAAGGTCTTGGAAAACCCTTGTTTGACCGTGATTTGCAACAACACCAATACTTGTTGTTTACCACAAAACACTAAATATTTAAAATTTTTTATTGTCACTTCATAATCTGCGGGTATTATCTTCAAAATACATCTTTGAAAATTGTCAACATATAAAAACACCTACCACCACTGCATAGAGTCAGACATACCTCAACGAACAATTTATTCATTTCAAAACAAAAGCTAATCTGCAGCAAATAACCGTAACAACAATGCGTGCCTTCATTGTTTTGTGTTTGGTGGCCGTTGCCTGTGCCGATAAATTGGGCTACAACTATCAACCAGTTGGTCACTCCTCCTCTGGATTATCCTTTACTCCTGGTGCAGCGGCTCCCAGTTATACCTCCGGATCATCCTTTGCACCAAGTGGTGTTGGCTCCAATGTAGCTCCCGGTTACGATGGTGGTGTTGGTCTTTTCGAAGGTGCAGGTTCCAGCGGAGCTCCCTCATTCGCCCCTCAAGCTGAATTGGAAAAAGAATTCTACACATTTTCTGCCAATGATGCTGATTTCAATGAACCTGCCAGCTCTGAGCAATATGCCAATGCTTTAAAGAAGGGTCTCCGTGTTGTATTCATCAAGGGTCCAGAAAACAATGGTTTGGAAGATGCTGCCTTGGCTTTGGCCAAACAAGCTGCCCAACAGCAAACCGCCATCTATGTTCTTAACAAACAAGCCGATCTCGGTGATTTGGCCAACAAACTTAACAACCTCAACACCGGCAACAACAACAAACCCGAAGTTCATTTCGTCAAATACCGTACTCCTGAAGATGCTGCCAATGCCCAACGTGCTATCCAAAGCCAATACGATTCCTTGGGTGGTCCTTCTCACAACTTCAACGGTGGTGTTGCCCCAGTCATCAACTTTGCATCCCAAGCTCCTGTTGCTGCTGCTCCCGCTGCTTCTGCTCCTGGTGCTAGCTATTTGCCTGCTTCTATATTCCGTCACTGAGTAAATATTATGACCCTAGGAGTCATTTGATTGTTTATTTTGTTACTTCAGTTAAATAAAATTGTTATTGTTTATAAAATCGAACTCTTTTCTTGTCTTTATAATCCTTCCATAGTCTTCTTTTATAAAGTTCGCCATGGGAATTCTTATGTTCATTTGGTATTACTGTTATTTGAACAAATATCTTTGCGAGATAGTTCTTAAACTTAGACCTACATTAAAATTAATTTTGAATTTCCACAAAAAACTGTAAGGAAAGATCAAAAGTCGGGCGCGTCCGACGATACCCTACACCACTATTCGTATTAAGTAGAGCTCCCGTAGCAAGAAAAGTTTATATTTGGAATTTATGTGAAGTAGATCATACCAACTATGAACCATATTTGAATGCGTATCATGGCTTTAGAGAAGTCAAAATTTGGAAACTAACTCTGAATCGATGCGGGGTCGAATATGTGATACCCAACAGTATAATAATTTGGAAGTCCCCTTTGGTCCAATCATTTAGTAGGCTTTCGCTTTTGAAATAATGTCATTCAGCCTGCTGTCATTTCTAAGCCACTCGTCCGACAGCTGTTACAATTATTCATTATATTGTTTACAAGCGAACAAAAGCATTTTGATGAGAATTTTCGAGAAAAAAAGTTATTCGTGATGGAATTTAAGCGTAATTTCTTTATATTTGGCTGAAAATCCACAAGTGGCCACCATTAGAGCGCTCCAGCATTCATTTTTTGTGTTTCGTACCATCGCTCGTTACCGTGATACTGGTAGCGTAGCCCGACGTCAAGGAAGTGGATGGAAGAAAACAGCACATCAGCAGATATGGTTCGAAAAGTAAAACAGTTCGCTTGGCCGAAAGTGTAAACAGTTATAAACAAAAAAAGTGATCGTGCTTACTTGCCAAAGAGGTCAGCTGAAAACGTGCACCTTCGGTTGGCCACCAAAACTCAAGCGCCGGCTATGATGAAAATGTGGGCCGCCATAACAGCCCATGGTCGCTATCCGCTCGTTTTAATCAACCCTGGCGTCAGAATAAATTCCGAATATTATAAATATTCTGAAGGTTGTATTAAAGGCTTGGGCACGCATACATTTTGGCCGCAGACCTTGGACATTCCAACAGGATTCAGCACCATCACACCCAGCACGCGCCACCCAAGAATGCTTATAAAATGAGGTTTCTCGCTTTATTTCCTGCTCACAATGGCCACCAAAATCTCCGGATACCGATCCATGGTCGGCACTAAAAATACAAAATGTCCGGCATTTTGTTCACAAAAATAAATGAACGGATGGACGGACAGACTGACATGCATAAATCGACTCAGAAAATTATTCTATGAAGATCCTCAAAAGTAACTTAGATCTATCTTACCTCCTTCTCCATGTTACAAATCAAATACATAAAGACAACTATATGAGGTAGGGTATAAAAGGTTTGAGGGTTAAGATGTTGACCATATAATCCTGATATTGTTATCTGTAATATTGGCTAAAATTTTACATTTCCTAGAAATTTTAATACAATTTCAAATGTCGAAGAGGTGGCATCTTTGTCCCTTTATGTTCTTTACTCTGCAATGTAAACTTTCAAAATGTCGATATGTGTCTTCTATTTTTAGGTCTAATTTGATAATCGGCTGGGTTTACTTTCCTACAATCATTGAATCGCACAGTGTTTTCGTATTGCGTACGTTTCTGCCTAGTTTCTAATTTTCCTGATTGAATTGTATTTGTGGCTATCTTTATAATTTATTTTCTCAATATTAATTACACAATTCTGAATTTCAAATTAAATATTCTGCATATCGGAATTTTAAAATGTTTCAATAGTTCGATTTTAATGAATATCATATTAAATTAATTTCAAATAAAATATTTGAATTTCAAGTGATTTTCTATATTCACAATTTTGATAATTTTAACCCAATCGGTATTACGTTTTCGTTAAGAGTGATACTCTTGTAACAGAACAATTTCCTCCCGATGTCGGATATTCCAACACATTTTTTATGTGATTATTAGACATTTCGAATGTTTCGGCAGTTGTACCACAAATTACATGCGCGAAGGCTTTGCTCGAATTTGTCGAAGGTTCTACATCGTTTACAACGGCACTGACATACATAAATGATATATGATTCTCATCTCATCGAAGTGAAATATGAGTATATGTTGTTCCATCTTCAAAAAAAAGTATAAAGCCTTAAAGGCCCGCATCGTAGTATTGTGGAGGGTATTGCCAACATAATGTCAAAAAATATGTGGTAGGTCTGGTTCATAAAAAAACCGAAACCAGTGCTCAACACTGAAATAAAAAGAATAACAACAAATTGTACCATAACATTTCATTTTTTATTGCTTCTGTACGATAGAAGCAATGAAACGGTTATAAAATGATGTGGCGTTGTTGGAATATACAACAATAATATATTTCCATACTGAACATTTCCTATTTTATAATGCATATGCAATCGCAATTTAAATACATAATCAAATAATTTTAATACACTCTACCATATTATTAGTATTATTATTATTATTATTATTATTATTATTATTATTATTATTATTATTATTATTATTATTATTATTATTATTATTATTATTAATAAAAAGTTAAAAAAATGTGGCAAAAATAATCAAAATATCGAACATCGGGAGGTACCATTATATGGGAGCTATACCAAAACGTGGACCTATACATGCAATGTTTTGCCACACGTACAGGGACCCGTTATTACCTACAAATACCAATTTTCAGACAAATCCGTGAAAAAATGTGGCATAAATCATCAAAATACCGAATATCGGGAGGTACCGTTATATGGGGACTATACCAGAACGTGGACCGATATATCTCATTTTCAATACCAACCATCCTAGACACAATACCAATAGCTCTGCTTAATTTTGGCGCTCTACGTCAAATAATGTGGGCTGTATCGTGATTTCAACAGACAGACGGACAGACAGACGGACATCCTTAAATCGACTTAGAATTTTATGCTGATTATGAATATATATACTTTATGGGGTCTACGACGAATATTTAAGGATGTTACAAACGGAATGACAAAGTTAATATACCCTCCTTTCCAAGGTGGAGGGTATAATTAAATAGCTGTATTCAGCTATTCTTTGTCAAATAACAAAAAGATTTTTCCAAAAAAAAGCCTGAAAGCAACTGATATACTTGTGATAACCATTTTAATATATGAAAAAATTGGACCAAATATGAAATCTGGTACATATTATACGACATTTATAATTGTTGAGATATTTAACTCTTTTTGATATGATACCCTACAACACTACAATATGGTAGAAGCCCCCTTATGTCAAAACCTATTTTGCAAATAAGGAACGTTTTTGTTGTTGGCCACTTCAACCCCTAAATTAATTACGGACATCTTTGAAAATTTTCGTGAGGATCAGACGATAATTGCAATATGTATATAATCTTTTTTTGCGATTTTTTTAGATTTTATACTCTTACGCCAAGAGGGCATTCTGAATTTGACAAAATCGGTCTGGCCATTCCTGAGATATAAGCATTCTAGCTAACATCCCCTTCCATTGTATATACACATTGTATATATTTCGCAATATATATCCGATATATTTACTATCGGCATCTACGTAACGGTCAGAATTAACCTGTTCGTTTATTTGTGATTTCGCCGGGATTAAAAATAATAGCGATTTAATGGAAAATCTGACTTTTATCTAACACAAATGTTATGGTCTATTTCACCCACTAAATATTAGCCGATGACCATCAAAATTGGAAGACTTCTGCCTAGCCCCAAGCTCTAGCTCCATGATAACTTCAGCGTAATTTGGTCTATAATTGCGACCTCTAGAGTAACTTTAAAATCAGGAAATTTTTCTGTTTTTGTTTCGATCATCTCCAAAAGCAATAGGGCTCTATTCTGGCCCTAACCCCACCTCCATTCTAAATTTCGTAAAGATCGGGTCATAATTGCGACCTGTAGAGTGATTACAAATTAACATGGACAGAGGGATATACATAGCTAGATTGACTCAACTCGCCGAGATAGGAAGATCCATATATACCTTCCTATGTGGGAAACCAATATTTGGAGGTGTATTTTGGCCCAATCAAACTTTTAATACCCCCAACACATAGTGTTGTAGGGTATAGAAACACTGCAATTTAATTGAGGCTACGATTATTACTATTCATATAGGTTCAGTTGTATTGCTACCTCGAGTCCTTCTAATAGTAGCAGAAATGCCGCTCAACTTAAAAAGAATCCCGTTTCCACTACGCTTGGCATTTGTTATGACAACTAAACAAGTAAAAAAGCAGTAAGTTCGGCCAGGACGAATTTGAAATACCCTCCACAATTTGGAATGAATTTGGAAAGTTTTAAAATAAATAAATAAATAAAATCCGTTAAAAATTCTTTTATAATTTTAAAAATACTGAACATAGCAGTTTTTACGAAGAAATGGACATTTGTCATAGGCCATTACAATATTCAAATACGAAATTTGAAAAAAGAAATCAGGTTAATAATGTCGCTAAAATCATCAAAACACACAATATCGGGAGGTACCGTTATATGACAATTTTGTGTCATAGGCTGTAATGTCCATTACGAACTTCAAACCCCAAATTTGAAACAATTCCGGTGAATAGTGTCGCTAAAATCATCAAAATACCGTAAATTAGAAGTACCGCTATACGAAGACGTGGACCTGCACAGACAATTTTCTGACATAGGCTGTAGTATCCATTACGAATTTTAAATACCAAGTTTGAAACAATTCCGTTGAATAATGCCGATAAAATCATCAAAATACCGAAAATAGAGAGGTGTCATTACATGGGGGCTATACCAAAACGTGCACCTACCTGGCCCATTTTCAATACCAAAATTCCTGCGCACATAGTATACATTTGTGTAAAATTTTATCAACCTACTTTATTTCGTTCGGAAGCTAGAGTTATTTCCCTAGACGGATAG